GGAGGAGGAGGAGGAGGAGGAGGAGGAGATTGGATTTATACCCCACCCTTCACTACCCGAAGGTGTCTCAGAGCGGCTTACAAACTCCTTTCCCCTCCCCTCCCCACAACAGACACCTTGTGAAGTAGGTGGGGCTGAAAGAGCTCTTGACAGAAACTGCTCTTTTTCAAGAACAGCTCTTATCAGAACTATGGCTTGCCCAAGGTCATCCAGCCAGGTGCAAGTGGAGGAGTGGGGAATCAAACCCGGTTCTCCCAGATTAGAGTCCGCGCACTCAACCACGACACCAAACTGGTGCACTTAACCACTACACCAAAGTTTAAGTCCAGTGGCACCATTAAGACCAACAAAGTTTTATTCAAACGTATCGAATAAACTTTGTCGGTCTTAATGGTGCCATGGGACTTGAGCTACTTTTCCCAGTCCACAGTCATGATTTCAGGAGCAGATCTCTTAGGGTGCTATTTCTCATCATTCCAAAAAAACCCCACAAAAGGTTTGCGATGGGATCAAGACGAAGGCAAAGCACCTACCCAGAGATTTCTGGTAATGCAGGGAGAAGCCGATGATCTGCTCGCTGTTGAACTCCGGCCGTTCCCAGGATACTAAGACGGTCGTGCTGGAGAGCGAGCTCGCCGTCACTTGCTTAGGCGCGCTTGGCAACCCTTCCCGCACGATCACCACCAGCCGGGCAGTGGCGCACGCCATGCCCAGCTGGTTTTCCGCCACACACTGGTAGTAGCCGGCGTCGTCCATCCCGATCTGGTTGATGACCAAGGTGCCGCCGCTCTGGGCCTTCACCCGCCCGTTGGACAGGAGGGGCTCTCCGTTCTTCATCCAGTGGATGCTGGGAGGCGGCTCCCCTTCCGCCCGGCAGACGAACCTGGCCGTGCTGGCTCGGGTCCGGGAAATGGTTTCGGGTGCCTGGGAGATGGACGGAGGAGCTGCAGGGAGGAAGAATGACACTGATGTCTTTCTATCGTTGCTCAATAGAGAGCATTTTAACATACTGCGTCTGTGCCTGGTTTGCCAGTTGTACGGCTGTGGATAGGAAAGCACTCCAGAGAGTTATCATCACAGCCCAGAAGATTATTGGCTGCCCTCTCCCGTTCCTGGAGGAACTGTATAGCTCTCGATGTTTGAAAAAAAGCAAAGAACATTCTGCAGGGTTTGTCACACCCTGAACACTCCCTGTTTGAACTGCTGCCTCCGGGTAGAAGATATAGGACAATTAAAACAAGGACAAACAGATTAAAAAATAGTTTTTATTCGAGAGCTATTATTGCTTTAAAGGCTGTCTGAAATTGGATTATTACTATTACTATTACTGTTGTTGTTGTTGTTGTTATTATTATTATTATTATTATTATTATTATTATTATTATTATTATTATTATTATTATTATTTGCGTTTAGGGCGGAAAGTGGAGCCTTCTCCTGTAGAGAGCACAGAGTCGGAATGGCCTTTGGCCACGATTCTATGACGCCGAGAGAAACTCCCTGGGGAGGGAGTTCCAGAGTGCCACATGAAACTCGGTTTCAATACAAGATCAGCTCCAGGAAGCAGCAAATAATAAAAAGAAACACACGTGCAATGTGACAAGACAAAACATTTCGTTCGTTCGTCCTGATGTATAACGCGCTCTCCCCGGATCTCGCTCAGAGTGGATGACAACAATTTATGAACGTATCATTTAAAACCTTCTTTAAAAAAAATACAAAAATCAATGAGACAGTTACTATAAAATTTAAGAAGGCGTAAAACTTCACAGAGGGGGCAATATATACAACATATATAGAAGGGAAGGAAGGGGGGGGAGCAGGGGGTAAGGGAAGAGGAGGAGGACAAAGAAATTAATACCCTCCTTGAACAGATAGGCAAAATTACTGGGACTCAATCAGCCGTTTGAGTATCCCACACGCCCGTGGGGAAAATTTGGCAACCTTGTGGGTTATCTCCTAGGAGAAGTCCACAAGGAAGAGAGGGACATGAAGTTGTTCAGAGCGTGTCCAGAAGAGGGCAACCAGGATGGCGAGAGGGTTGGAGTCCAAGTCTTACGAGGAAAGGCTGAAAGAGTTGGGTCTGTTTAGCCTGGGAAAGAGAAGGCTTAGAGGGGACATGATTGCAGTCTTCAAGTATTTGAAGGGCTGTCATGTAGAAGATGGAGCGGATCTATTCTCTCTTGCTCCGGATTGCAAGACTAGATCGAATGGCTGAGCAGTGGCTGTCTGAGTGACAAGTGGAGTGCCTCGAGGATCTGTCCTGGGACCTGTTCTGTTCAACATCTTTATCAATGATTTGGATGAAGGAATAAAGGGAACACTTATTACATTTCCAGATGATACTAAATTGGGAGGGGAAGCAAATACAGTAAAAGACAGAGTCAGGATACAGGATGATCTTGACAGGCTGGAAAATTTGGCTAAAACAAATAAAATGAATTTGAGTGGGGATGAATGTAAAGTTCTGCACTTATTTATTTATAATTATAGGATAGGGGAGACTTGTCTTGGCAGCAGTATATGCGAAAAGGATCTAGGGGTCTTAGTAGACCATACACTGAACATGAGTCAGCAGTGTGATGCAGTAGCTAAAAAAGCAAATGCCATTTTGGGCTGCATCAACAGAAGTATAGCGTCCAGATCACACAAAGCGATGGTACCACTTTACTCTGCTCTGGTTAGACCTCACCTAAACGTCTTCAGTTTTGGGCACCACAATTTTAGGAAGGATAGAGACAAGCTGGAACGTGTCCAGAGGAAGGCAACAAAGATGGTGAAGGGTCTAGAGACCAAGTCCTGTGAGGAAAGGTTGCAGGAGCTGGGTATGTTTAGCCTGGAGAGATGATCACCATCTTCAAGTACTTGAAGGGTTGTCATACAGAGGATGGTACGGAGCTGTTTTCTGTTGCCAAAGAAGGTCGGGCCAGAGCCAAAGGGTTGAAATTAAATCAGAAGAGTTTTCATCTAAACGTTAGGAAGAACTTCCTGACCGTTAGAGCGGCTCCTCAGTGGAACGGGCTTCCTCGGGAGGTGACGGGCTCTCCTTCTCTGGAGGTTTCAAACAGAGGCTAGATGGCCATCTGACAGCCATGCGGATTCTGTGAACTTAGGCAGATCACGAGAAGGGAGGGCAGGAAGGGTTGCCTCAGTGCTTAGTTCTCGTGGCTCTTTCTTACATGCCCAGGGAAATGCCGATCACCACTTTGGGGATCGGGAAACAATTTTCCTCCAGGCCAGTTTGGCCAGGGATCCTGGGTTTTTTTTTTGTTGTCTTCTGGGCATGGAAGAGGGGGCCACTGGGGGTGTCGGAGGGGGAAGTATTTGTGAATTTCCTGCCTTGTGCAGGGGGTTGGACTAGGTGACCCTGGAGATCCCTTCCAACTCTATGGTTCTAAGATCAAGGGTACTAGACCCACCAGACTGAAGATCAGTTTTAGCCCGCAGGTGGGTGTGAGTAGCCACATGCGTGCCTCAAACCTTTTGGTGCCCCAACCGAGAAAGCCTTTCTTGGCTCGCTACCTGTCAAGCCTAAGATGGCACCAGCACCTCAGGCAGGGCCTCCGAAGATGATCGGAGTGAAGAGGTAGGCTCGTATGGGAGAGGGTGGTATATTGGTCCCAGGCTCTACAGGGCTTTCAAGGTCAATATCAGCGCCTTGAATCCAGCCTGGAAGCAAACCAGAAGCCAGCATAGATGAAACAAGACTGAAGTGATAGGGTTCCTACGACCCTATTCTATAAATACAGGGGTAAGATTTGAGTTACGGGACTGCGGTGGCTCAGTGGTTAAGACGCTGAACTGTAGACCGGAAGGTCGGTAGTTTGGCAGTTCGAGACCCGAGTGCCGCATGACGGAATGAGCTCCCATCTCTGGCCCCAGCTCCTGTCAACCTAGCAGTTCGAAAGCAAGAAATTGCAAGTAGATAAATAGGTACCACTTCGGTGGGAAGGTAACAGCGGTCTGTGCGCCTCGGCATCTAGCCATGTTGGCCACATGACCACGGAGAAGTCTTCGGACAGCGCTGGCTCTTCGGCTTGGAAATGGAGATGAGCACCACCCCCTACAGTTGGATTCGACTGGCTTTTGAGCAAGGGAAACCTTTACCTTTACCTTTCCAAAGATTTGAGTTAGGATTACCTCAGAAATCAAGATTTCCAGAGTATAAGGTTTAGAGAGTCAAAAGTTCCTTCTTTGTTAAAACACAGTTTAAAAATACATAAATACATGGCTCAGTTGTTGTAGCCCAAACTTTGAGGCAAGAAGAAGAGAAGAGATTGGATTTATACCCCGCCCTTCACTACCCAAAGGAGTCTCAGAGCGGCTTACAATCTCCTTTCCCTTCCTCTCCTTTCTTCTCCTTTCCCCTACAACAGACACCCTGTGAGGCAGGTGGGGCTGAGAGAGCTCTCTCGAGGACTGCTCCTGAGAGAGCAGCTCTGAAAGAACTTGTGACTGACCCAAGGTCACACCAGCAGCTGCATGTGGAGGAGGAGCGGGGAATCAAACCCCGTTCTCCCAGATTAGAGTCCGCACTCCTAACCACGACACCAAACACATCTTCTTCACTTAGCTATTGTGGAAAAGGAAAGGAAATTACATCATTCGTTCTATCTCCTTCTTCCTGGAACAGGCACCAGATCCTGACTACCTATTCATTTATTTCACTGATCCTGCCATTTTCTCCAGTGGCGATCCCATGCAGCTTACGCTGTTCACCTCCTCTTCTTTGTCCTCACAACAACCCTGTGAGGGAGGTAAAGCTGCAAGGGTGTGACAAGCCCAAGGTCACCCAGACAGCTTCCATGGCGGAGCGAGGATCCGAACCCGGGTCCCAGTCCAACTCGCTAAACACTATGGCACCTTGGCTCTGGGGCAGGACAGGAAGGCAGCACGCATGCTAGAAAAGAAGGCGGTTCTCACAAACACCGCTAGCTGGAGTTCACGGGCAGCACCAGAACAACTGGACTATTTCACAGACGTTGCACGGAAAGTCTTGGTTCTCTTGCCCTCACCAAGGACTCGGAGCTCAGCCGCGGCGGTCACAAATTGCCTGGTCTGGGGTTTATTGGCACGGCAAACGTACACTCCGGCGTGGTGGGGCTGGGCGTGAGGAATCACAAGGTTGGTCCGTCCCAACACGATCACATCGGTGGAAATGGGGTTCCCATCTGCACATGGAGAGGAAAAACAACAACCCCACCACTCAAACTCCAAAGCCAGATACTGATGCCGGCAAATGACAACCTACAACTTTAGAAGTGATCAAAGACATTTAAGAAGAAGAAGAAGAGATTGCTTTCATACCCCACCCTTCACTACCCGAAGGGGGTCTCGAAGCGGCTGACAATCACCTTCCCTTGCCGTCCCCACAACAGACACCCTGTGAGGGAGGCGGGGCTCAGAGAGCTCTGAGAGAACTGTGACTGGCCCAAGGTCACCCAGCTGGCTGCACATGGAGGACTGGGGGAATCAAACCCGGTTCTCCCAGATTAGAGTCCTGCTGTTCTTAACCACTACACCAAACTGCCTCTGTAGAAGATACTGTTATTACCAGGGGTCCTTTCCTGCAGGAGTGCACAGGAGCGGAGCTCCGGCAGTAAAGAGCCCAGGGGGTGGGCACATGCAACAAGCCCCGCCCCCTGCTCCCAGCAGCCCTCGGTCAGAGCAAGAAGCAGCCAGGTATGTTGCAGAGGCCCCCCCAAAAAACAGTCCAGTGTCACCTTTAAGACCAAGTTTTATTCAGGTACGAGCTCTCCCTCCTCTGTGAGGACAGATCTGCACGTCCCCCCCCCACCCAATAGCTACCAATCCAAGAGTCCAGTGGAGCCTGGGCGGTGGGTGTTGCCTTCTGACACACTTCCGGTGATGTCAGGGGGTGTGGCCTATGCAAATGAGTTATGCTAATGAGCTCCTGCACCTCTTTTTCTACGAAATGACCCCTGGTTATTACTATTTTAGCTTCCTCTGGCTTATGGAACCCAGTTCCTTCCTGCTGGAAAGAAGGGCCATGTTTGCCACAGTCATCTCCCATGTAGTCAGGGGACGCAACCAAGCGAAGATTACACAGACACTTCCCCTAATTAATCATGGAACACTCAGCAAAGATCCCAGCTTTATGGCAATAGTCTCAGAGGGCAGCCGGGTTGGCCTGCAGGAGAAGATCCAGATTCGAGTCCGGTAGCACCTTAGAAACCAACAAGATTTTCAGGGCAGGAGCTTTTGAGAGGCTCTGACTCTCAAAAGTTCGTACCTTGAAAACCTTATTAGTTTCTAAGGCAGTGGTGTCAAACATGCAGCCCGGGGGCCAGATCAGGCCCCCGGAGGGCTTCTCTCAGGCCCGCAGTGGAACTGGCTGTCTTCTGCTTCCAGTTCTGCTGCTGCTGCTGCGTCATCGCATGTTTGAAGCTTACAGATACTCATCTGAACAGCATACTCAGGATTGCAACAGGACAGACATTTTGATGCAATAATTCAGAGCAAGCGGTGTCAGTTATCAGACACCGTTAAATAAACAAAATATTGCAAGGGTGCTGATGTTTTAAGCATGTTTTTATTTTAAGTTAAAAAAACCCACCCTTTGTGTTTGTGTCCTTTATAAAGTTTATATCTCCACTACCTGGCATTACATTTTATGACACACGTGGCCCGGCCTGGCAAGCTCCCATTTATGTCAGATCCGGCCCTCAAAACAAATGAGTTCGACACCCCTGTTCTAAGGTATTATTGAGCCAATTTGGTGCCGTGGTTAAGTGCGCGGACTCTAATCTGGAAGAACCGGGGTTTGATTCCCCACTCCTCCACTCGCAGCGGCTGGATGACCTCGGGCAAGCCGTAGTTCTGTCAGAGCTGTTCTCTCAAGGGCAGTTCTGGAAAGAGCTCTCTCAGCACCACCTACTTCACAGGGGAAGAAGAACAGAAAGGAGATTGTAAACCACTCTGAGATTCCATAGCCAATCTCCTCCTCCTCTTCCTCTTCTTCAACTCGAATCTAGTTGTTTTATAGCAAACAGCTTCTAATCTACAATCTGGTCCATATGCCAAGCGTTTTGTTCCGTGCCGGATTTAATCCTTTCAAATGCCGTCTTCACCCCAATAGGGAAATGGCCATCTTACTTTAAAAACTGCCCCATTTCCCACTCCCCTGTGACTTCAACGGCCGCTATTCCCCCCCCCCCTTATAATCCTAAAGATAACCCACCGGTTATTTTTGCAAAGTGCCAACAGCTGGCCAGAATCCCCACCAGCCCCGTGGAAGTCCCCACAGAAGGGCCGTCCAAAGCCCAACCCAACCTTTCCAGCCAGGGGTGTCATTCAATCCAGGGGCCGCGACTAATTTTAGATCAAAAGGTGCCCAGTAACTGGAACTGCGTATCTTTTACAGATCAAACAATGTAAAATAAATTGCATGCTTTGTATCGCTTGAGATTCAATTGGCCGGCCTGGCTTAGAAGTCCCGCTCCACTCCGGCGCTGGTTCAGCCTCCGTTTATTCAGTTCCACGGAGTGTCACGCCCAGTGTTCTCTCTATGCTGAGCGAGTGTGAGCTAGCTCACAGTTTTTTAGCCTACGGCTCACACGTTTTTGTCTCCGCTCAGGAAGGAGGGCTCCAGAGCAAACTAATTTATGCCGCCGCCAGATCGCTCGCTCACCGCTTCAATACCAGTAGCTCACAAAGTAGAATTTTTGCTCACAAGACTCCACAGCTTAGAGGGAGCACTCGTCACGCTCCCCCGGAATAGGTTTTAAAAATGAAAGGTTCTCGAGCTACCCCCTGGGCGTCAAAAGGATGGTGCTCTGCATTTACCCTCCCGTATCCAAGAGACAAACGGCGTCGGATCCGCGGCAGCCATGCACTCCAGCACAGCGCTTTCCCCAACCGCCACGGTGGTGTTCTCCGGCGCAGCAGCTATGGCCACGTCTCCTGTGGTTGGTGGCTGAGTACCTAGAAAAAAAACCCATTTTAGAATTTTTCACTTTCAAAAAGCAGCGCAAAGTTCTACGCAGGCCAAACTTGGAGGTTACTCAGTTCAGTTCAGTTCATCGTAATTAGCCACTGGCCGTTACAAAATTACAAAACACAGAAATTGTGAACTAACTATGGGTTAGAGTCAGAATGTACAAAAATACCAAAGATCAGTAACAAAATACGACTAACTTAATACGGCAGCCTAAATAATGCCCCTTCCCGATGGCACCTTGGAACGTCTATTCTTTGCAGCGGAGGTTGCTCTACTCCCAGTTACTCTAAGTGCAATGTGTAAAGTGGGTTTCCCGGGTGTGACTGAGGAGGTTGCTTCGTTTCTTCAGGGTGCGATAAAGTTTCGTCAAGATAAGATATAGTGATGATTTGATGCTATTATTTAAATTGTAACGATTTTAAGTTTCTATTTCTTTTCCCCTCTTGTTATACGATTTGCCTTAGTTTATTCTGTATGCCGTTAAAGGTTTGATTTTGATTGGATTTGTGTAAAGGCAATCCTTGGAGGCCCCTCCAGGCTACCTGTTGGGGCAAACGACCTGAGCACAACACTGGTCTAAAGACTAACCCTACCCCTTTGTCCCCGAATCCTCCTCCAACACCACTGCTCAGAAGAAGAGGAAGAGGAAGAGGAAGAAGAGGGAGAGGAAGAAGAAGAGGAAGAGGAAGAAGAGGAAGAAGAAGAAGAGGAAGAAGAGGAAGAAGAAGAGGAGGAGAAGGAGGAGGAGATTGGATTTATACCCCGCCCTTCACTACCCAAAGGAGTCTCAGAGCGGCTTACAAACTTTTTCCCCCTCCCCACAACAGACACCCTGTGAGGCAGGTGGGGCTGAGAGAGCTCTGAGAGAGACTGCTCTTTTCCAAGAACAGCTCTTATCAGAACTATGCCTTGCCCAAGGTCATCCAGCAGCTGCATGTGGAGGAGTGGGGAATCCAACCCGGTTCTCCCAGATTAGAGCCCGTGCACTTAACCACGACACCAAACTGGAAACAAGTAATTATTAGCAGCACAGGCCTGTCCGAAGGCAGGGCAGGAGGCCGGCCAGCGGAGGCGTTTATAGCTCTGCGTCCTGCTCTTCCAAAAAAGCCCAAAGCAGCCTAGGTGAGGTAATTTCCATCCCATCCTCAGAACTACCCAGCAAGGGAGGAGCAACGGAGAGAGATAAGAGCCTCACCGGAGGCCGCCTTCCAGTTCTGTGGCCAAGCGGGAATTTGAACCCATGTTTCCACAGTCTGAAGCCAACGCTCTACTCACTACACTATACTGTCCCCTGTTTATGGAGACAGGCACACTGCAGTTGGTACAAGCACAGGCCCTGTGTAGGGAGATCTGGGAGCCTAAGATGGGTAAATAGATCGAGATGGGGCGCCGTGTTCGTCTGTCTTTTAGCAGCAGAAAAGAGCAAAAGTCCAGGAGCACCTGAAAGACGAAGAAGAAGAAGAGGAGGAGGAGGAGATTGGATTTATACTCCGCCCTTCACTCGGAGTCTCAGAGCGGCTTACAAACTCCTTTCCTTCCCCCTCCCCACAACAGACACCCTGTGAGGTAGGCGGGGCTGGGAGAGCTCTGAGAGGACTGTCCTTGAGAGAACAGCTCTGACAGAACTATGGCTTGCCCAAGGTCATCGAGCAGGTGCAAGTAGAGGAGTGGGGAATCAAACCCGGTTCTCCCAGATTAGAGTCCACACACTTAACCACGACACCAAAGTGGCTCTTTCCAGAAGAAAAAGAGGAGGAGGAGGAGGAGATTGGATTTATATCCCGCCCTTCACTACCCAAGGGAGTCTCAGAGTGCTTACAAACTCCTTTCCCTTCCCCTCCCCACAACAGACACCCTGTGAGGCAGGTGGGGCTGAGAGAGCTCTTGACAGAAACTGCTCTTTTTTCAAGGACAGCTCTTATCAGAGCTACGGCTTGCCCAAGGTCATCCAGCCAGGTGCGAGTGGAGGACTGGGGAATCAAACCCGGTTCTTCCAGATTAGAGTCCGCGCACTTAACCACTACACCATTCTCAAAGCACAATACCACCAATATCAAAAACGGCTCAAAAATACATCGTTTGTTGGCAAATGCAAAATATTCCGATGAGGACTGAGCATGACTCACGAGGCATCTGTGGAGAGCAGATTAGAGCCAGTGCAGGGCGAGGGGACGGAGAGAGAGGAGGAAATTTCAACCTAAGAGCTTCTAGAACCCTGGAGTGCAGGATCTGTGCGCATCTATGAGAGGGAATCTCCTCCAGGAGCACCCCACTGGTTCTGTTTACAAGCCAGCTGTCAGTCCGTTCTGCATCCTTCACATATTTTGCCCCAGTTGTGAATTTTTACGATGGAAAGACATATCTTGAGATTCAAGATTCTTTTCTTTTTTTTGTGGGTCAAGCTGCAATCTTATTACATTTTTACCTTCCGGAGAGTCCAGGAGAGGACACAGGCCGGTAGCCAGAAATATTTTTGGTGGGTGGGTGGGGGCACGTCAGTGATGACATCACAAAGCTCCCTCTAAGCTGTGGAGTCCTGTGAGCAAAAATTCTACTTTGTGAGCGACTGGGCATTAAAGTGGTGAGCGAGCGATTGGGCTGCTGCGTAAATTAGTTTGCTCTGGAGCCCTCCTTCCCGAGCTAAGACAAAAATGCGTGAGCTGGAGGCTAAAAAACTGTGAGCTAGCTCACACTAACTCAGCTTGGTGTCGTGGTTAAGTGCGCGGACTCTAATCTGGGAGAACCGGGTTTGATTCCCCCACTCCTCCACTCGCACCTGCTGATGTGACCTTCCCTCCTCCTCCTCCTCCTCCTCCTCCTCTTCCAAGAAACACTGCACAGCACCAGTGTAGTTAGTGCTGCTGGCATCATGTGACCAGAAGGGAGTGAAACTGACCAGAAGGGGGGGGGAAGAGGCTGGGGAAGGAAAGGGAAGCCCCCTTTGCCACTTCTGGTCAGTTTCATTCCCTCTCCGCCTGTCAGCAGTTAGGTTTAAATGGCCCAAACCTAACAGCTGAGGCAGGAATGAAACTGACCAGGGCAGCTACGGAAGGTGCTGGAGACCAGAAGGAGCCCGGGGGAGAGGATGGGGGGGAGGGCAGGAGGGGCAGGGCAGATTCAGGGGGGGCATCGCCCCAGGGAGCCCCACCGTGGCTATGGGCCTGAGAGTATGCATAGGCCTCACTCCCTTCAGCCTATCCACGCAACAATCTTGTGAAATAGGTTCGGCTAAGAGAAAGGTGACTGGACCAAAAATCAAGTCTGTGCGCTTCAGGACCGAGATGGGGATTTGAACGCGGGTCTCTCTATCGTCAAACACTTTGCCCGTCGCCCCACGCTGGCTCTCCCAAAGCCCACGCGGAAAGCAAATCTGTGCTTCCCTCTCACCCGTGCAGATTATAATTCATCGTCCTCATTAATTAAAATGGCTCCCCGCCAACCAGACGGCAGACGCTTCCCCGGACAACCCGATCGGATCAAAGCTTACAAACACAATGACGACGTAATGAATAAAATGTATGATTATCTTTGTCCTTCGTGGGCGGGGGTCCCTTTGTTGGCTTCCTCTGAACCGCGCAGCACATGGCGCCCATGAGAAAGTGCGGGGAGGGGGGGGAGAGGTTGAAACACGGTAACGCCAACTGCAAGCAAATCAGCCCTCTACAGAAGAGTGGAAGGGAAGGCCAGGCATTTCTCTCCCCCCCCCACCCTCTCCGGAACAGCTGCTCAGAGCTTGCAAACTCCTCCCAGGGGAGATTCTCGGAGGCTGAATAAGACTTCAAAACTCCTCCTCTGGAAAAGGGTGAGAAAGTTCACAGCGAAACACCCGGGCTGCTGCTGCTGCTCGGTCGCCTGGACTTCTCGGTGTCTCAAACCACTGACAGCTGAAAGCGATGGGCTGCCCCTCTCCCCTCCTGTAACCTTCCAGGGGAGAGTCTGCAGAATGTTGGGGGGGGGCACGACGATCCTGGCAGCTGCCATGAATCATAACATGGGGGGCACCTTCCTTGGTGGGATTACAGCACAGGGTTCCTAGGGAGGACTCGCCCAAGTATCCTATTTGCGCCGTCTGTCCCCGGAACATAGCCAAAGTCAATCCAGTTTAAAGGACGGCCTTCCTGGGAAGTTGGGGAGGGGGGGTGCTTCGGGACGGGGGGGTGGGCGTCAGTGCAAAATGCCTTGCGGTTGGATTGCAGAATTTTTCTCGGCTCAGTCCACCCCGGGAGGTTTCCAGCTGCAGCCAAGCTGCGCACAGTTTGAACTTCTTTGCGATTAACAGAACCGTCTAGCTAAGAATTGGTTCTTTGAGCTTCGGATCCGGTGGTTGCCGAAGGGATTTCTCGCCTAGCGATCAGACGCGTTTTGCTGATGGTCTGTTTCGCTGCCTACCGGGACAACAGAAGTCGATCGGGGATCTAGTGAACTTTAGAGTCTCCAGGTGGGGTAGCCATGTTGGCCTGAAACAGCAGAACAAGGTTTGAGTCCATTGGCACCTTTTAGGACCAACAAAGTTTACTTCTGGGTATAAGTTTTCATGTGCACGCAGCTATCTTCAGAGTTTCTCCGCAGACTCCCTCCCGGTCACTTTGTGCACGAAAACTTTGGCCTTCTAGTCTTCTTCCGCGTTCTGTCCTGCACTCTTTTCATCTCCCCTCTTTCATGCACATAAGATGTCCCACCTTCAGCCCCTTTTGTTCTCCTCACATCACAGCGTTTTCTTTACACCACAAGACGACTACCGTTGCATTAATGCGGCCCAGAGACCTGCTTTAAAAATGAAAAGACAGAAGGCAGCAAGCAGAGATTCCCAGGCGCTGACAGGCCCTCGAGGCAGCAAGAGATGCGCCATGAGACTGTCGCAGGTGCCGCCGCCGCCTGCCTCGTAACCTTCCGGAAGGCGAAGGCGTTCCTCGTGGATTGGGATTTAATATGCCGTTATTGGAGATGACACGGGAAGATTGCCACCGGCTGAACGTCATTTCAA